AGGATTAAAAGTCGAGAATGATACAACGAATCGTATTCTTTCTCTAACAATTTAATGAAACGTCAAAGCTTCCGCGCTTCGCGCTTAATAGGGGGGGGGGGGCGAGGGATCTTTGCTCGCTCGCTTCGCTCACTAGCCGAATTGTGAAACCAGAAAATTACTTTTTCGCCCCCCCCCCCCTCCCCGATTAAAATGTCAAAAATTGTACCGCGGTTTAGTGCTTCTAATATGACCTTGTCAGTATTGGTATGTTGAGTTGAAAAAACGGTCTGCGCAATTTTCCAATTTCCGGCCCCCCCCCCCCCCTATTGGAAAATCCTGGATCCGCGCCTGATGTTTGATCTCCACTCACCTGTCCACTTTCTGATAGTCAGTGAATATCTTGAGAAGGTTGTCTGTGAATCTAGTAAGGTCTTCAGTTGAGCTGCACGTCTTGATAAATTAAGGACAGAAGAGACTGGGCAGAGTGATTGACCTAAACAAAAACATAAGACTAAGACATTGCACAAACACGTTGGATATAATTAAGGTAGAAAGTGAAGGAGAGAGGATATGGGGTATACTGATAGAGAGAATTCAGTAATAATCTTGAAGTTTTCAGTGAATCTAGTCAGGTCTTCAGTTGAGCTTCATGTCTTAATGGGGTTAGAAGGGATTGGGTATAGAGTGCTCCACTATAACCAAAACATAAAACCAAAATATAGAACAAAATATAAGATCAAAACATTATAGAAAATCGTATTTGAGGTAGAGGGTGAAGGAGACAGAGAGAGAGAGAGAGAGATGGGGAGAAGACGGAGAGAGGGGGAGGAGAGGGAGAGATAAGAAGATAGTCACTAAAGTTCTTGAGTAAGTTGAGCCAAACTCTGTGTATAGATGGCTCTGGATTGGCACTTGTATAGATGGCTCTGGATTTGGCACTTGTATAGCTCCCTCAACTTTAAATTTAAAAATATATGATGAGATGTTTATCAAGACAGGTACACTTGTAAAATTGATACAGGTACACGATAGAAAGATGACTACAAAACTACTAATATATCTTAGCCTCCATTGGAAGTAACATGAGTTGTATGTTGAGTTTTTAGTGCATTATCATATAATATGAAAATTGTTGCAATACAGATCTTTGTCCAAAGGTAGTTCAGTTCATATGAATGAAGATGTTTACACAGTGAAATATTTATTTGACGGGCCTTGGCCATTCTTTGTGCAACTATACAGCCATTGAATGGATGTATAGTTTTAACCAATCACAACGCATGAAACTATGCAAAAATACAACTGTACAACTATACTATACATCTATACAACTATACATCGATCGAAGCACTTGTGAACGCATGTATTGTTTCCAATCAGAATGCAGGAAACTGTACATTTATACAACTATAGGTTAAAACTATAATTCCATTTTATTATATTATTATTATTCACTTTATGGGGGTTTCATTCATTTAAATGAGCAAAATTGCACATAGCACCATGAAGGACAGCAGTTGAAGGAAACAACTTATAAAAACATTCCTGCCTACCAAGGAAAGCCAGCAGTAGGACAAAACATAAGAGTTCCCAAATCATCTGTTTTGAAATCGGAAAAAAAGGACATTTCAGTACCATGATAAGGAGAAACAGGATATCTAATTGTTAAGGAGCCCTTGACGTATGAAATCTGAGAGGCCTCTGAACAATCTATGTCGTCCCAACCCTTGAAAGACACCTCCACAAGAAATTCTGTATGGGAGAAGACTGAATGCAAATTACCCCCCCCCCCTCAACACACACACACACACACACACACAGACGCGCAAATGATGATGCTGGTGATTCTAAAGTAACATGGATTATACAAAGGTTGATCAAGTTCATGAACAACAACAAATCAATTCAAAATTACAACATGATTTAGACTTGAAATCATGGCATCTTGATCACATGATTTCATATTCCTCTGCCTTCTCCTCAGCTTTGTTTGAACAGAAAGTGATCTAATAAAATTCATGTGTAAAAATCGACAAACCTTTTTCTATTCAGGAAATAAAGGTAACCCACATTAAAATTGACCTTGAACCCATAGCACGTTTACTTTCCTAATGATTATCTATCATTCTCCAGGGCGACTTCCTTTACTCAAAAGTATGTTATCAGTTCTATTATTGATGTCTTGTTCTGGATTAAAAAAAACACATGAATTCTTGTTTGCTACAAGAGGTTGTTGGGTACTAACTTTCAGCTTATCATACTAATGCAAAGTCGAAGTTATACTTCAAGTATGTTTGACATTAAAACAAGCCATATTAATGATCTGAGTCAATAGTTAGGGTTCAAGTGGCAGAATTTATCTTTCAAGTGGCTACCTAATTCGAGATCATCTTGATGATATCATCCACAATCATAATAAAAACATTTGTAAATAACCACTACTTATCATAGTAATGATGCAAAGTCGAACTTATACTTCAAGTATTTATAATAAAACAAATTCACTGATAAATAACTAACTGGTACTTGAAATTTGCACATGCCGATTTTGAGTGATAAGATTCCAGATATTATTCTCATTTTTCTATTTTTAACCTAACAATGAAGTGTCCATGCAAACTCATGAACACATCACCAAAAGCTCATCTCTTGAAGTAGAAGCAACAGGTACTCTATTTATTGGACAACCACTTTACATGTAGTTTCGCATAGGGATTATTACCATAAAGACTAAAGCTGTTTGACTCCACTTCACTCACATACACGGTAAGTACACTTGCCTTAATAAGAAGCAAATCCCATCTCTTGAGACTGGAATGAACTTTTTAAATACTGAGTGGAAACTGGGCAATTGATTTTCCTTGCTGCACATTATTTAAGCAGTCATGTAATGTCAGAATATGAGTCAAATAAATGGTAATGTTTCAAAGTACTGGGAGGGAAAAAAAACACTTTTGCAAATCAATGACAGCTTTTTCAAGGGCATAAATAATTTACAATTTGCAAAAAGTTAGTACTGTGACTCAAAAATCCGAACCATTTGCAAATCTGAACTACCCACTCACAAAATTAGCAAATGTTTCTTATTTTTATAGTGTTTTTACTAATTGTTTTTGCCAGGATCATCTGTGAATGTGAAGTCCTCCCAGGAGGATTCTTTTGATATCAAGAACTGCATGTACATCTCTTATTTGGAGCCTAAATGGAGGATCCGCAAAGATAAAGGAAACAGCAGTCTAGTTCTATCCAATTGACCTGTATCCGGTTCTTGTAGAATTTGATGGTTCCAATGAAAGATAAAACCTACAGAAAATAAGTGAATGAGCTACTCAAGTGAATATAACAGTCAGTTTTGAGATGCAGTCAACGTGTACATGAGCTGATCAGAAAATACGGAACATTCCTATGCCTGTGTCAAAATAAAGTAATCTTGGACAAGATTATTTTCCTGGAAAGGGATTTGTCATGTACTAGGATGTTTCTCCAGTTGGTGACATTGTAACAGCAGTCAACTCAGTCACTCCTGCGGTCATCTGTGGACATCTGTCGACATATCTATCATGGACATGGTCTTCAATATTGCAGAGTACTATTAAAAAGGCAGTGCAAACATTGCTTTGATGACATTACTTAAAATAGGTTGGACCACGTGGTGGTTGCCATCTTGAAGTTTGTCATATTGACTTCAATATTGCTTCAAACAATACACTTCAAAACCAATTATATTAATCAACTTTTTTCCATTCCATGTTCATTTTTAACTTTTGTTTTGTAAATTATTAAAGGAATCTGTATTTAATCACAGGTAACCATGTTGATATTTGGTAGGAATGCTGTATTCAAATGCACTATGGCAAAAATAATCGTTTTGATCACAATACTTCTTATAAATGAACATCAAGTTAAGGCAGTATCCTATGTACAAGGACAACAAGTAACCTTACATTTCCCATACCCATGTGACAGCACAGAAGTTACATTACAGCAATGGTACAGAGTCCCATTTTATCGCTCTACAGACGGGTCAACACTGTCATTGCCTAAAGATAATAGATTCCAAGTGCAGAATGTAATAGAAAATGGAAACTGCTCTCTGAATCTTACAATAAGTAATCTAATGAGAAGTGATGAAGGGACATACCTTTCGACTATCTACAAGGAGGGACTACTAAATGATCACTACACAACAAGAATTTGGCTAGAGGTAGACTATCCTCCTGGTAAGGCATCATGTGTTGTGGGTGAAGAAAAGGGTGGAGACTGGGTCTCAATAGACTGTACAGCCAAGGTTGGGAGTCTATCAGGGAAAATTGAATGCTATCAAAATGGCGTATGGATGCCTCCCCTAACTGATTCTACTGAAACTGACACAACTTTGAAACAGAAGATAAACATTACAACAAATCAACCAGTATTTTGTTGTTCTTCCCCTTTGCCTAGATACATAGGAAGATGTGAATGTAATGATACTGCATTGTATCTCGATGATGCAATTAGCAATGACCCATGTCCATCCATATCAACAAAAACATCAACAACTTCTACTAACAGAACCTCAGATCTCGTCGAGAAAAGTCAGTCTTCAGACTATCCCTTACCATCACACACGACATCAACGAATGCCAACAAAATTACCAAAAGATTTTTGATGTCAATAATCGTATACCCTATTGCGGCAATTGATCTGTTCATAATTGTCATAGTGACTACAATTTCCTTCCATCAATCGAGGCAGAAACGCAAAAACAATAGTAATGATGGGTCACAAAATTTGATAGCAATAATCATATATTATATTTCAGCAACTGGTATGTTCATATTGATGATATTGATTACAATTTCCGTCTATCAATTGGGGCCGGAAAACAAAAACAATAGTAATGATGAGTCACAAAATTGGAGAGCTATAATCGTAGATCATATTGCAGTACCTGGTATGGTCATATTGTCCATATTGCATATCATTTCCTTCTATCAAATTGATTAATCGACGCAGGAACGCAAACAAAATAGTAATGGTGAGTCACAAAAGCCTTTATTATCAGGAAATGTTCATTATCATTATGCTCTAAAATGCGAAACAGAGAAATTAAATCAAATGATGATGCAGGAATTAGCAACTCACAAAACACAAAATAATGGTAACCCGACACATGCTCAGCCGACGATTGCTCCGCCGACATTTACTCCGCAAAACGCGACAATTCGTCGGCCGGCTGGCAGAAGGGCGTTAGCGCGTGAGTGACTCAAAAACTACTTTTCGAATTATTCGCATTTAAAGATTTGTTTTATATTTAGACTGCTTTCCGTCCCGAAAATTGGTTTAAAACCTAAAAGACTAATAGAAATGTTATAGTAGAACACGGCCACAATTTTTTTCTAGGAAATAAGTCAGTTTTATAACAGTTTGTGGCGATTTAGTGCTAACGCCCTTCTGCTTAACGCTTCAGTTTTAACCTGAAATTCGAGCTAACGCCCTTCTGCCAGCCAGGCGCTCCGCGACATTTGCTCAGCCGACAATGGTGAGTCACAAGTTCCTTCATTTTCAAAAAATGTTCATTATCAATATGCTCAAAAATGCGAAACAGAGAAATTAAATCAAATGATGATGCAGGAATTAGAAACTCACAAAACACAAAATTTTATATAGGGAAAAACAAATCATTAGACATATCGTCCAATCATAACTTTCAAGACATTTTAAGGAAAAAAGAACTCTAAGCCTTCTGGTAAATCTATATCAATGCAGCTTCATCTATATCAATGCAGCTTCAAGACAGAGCTACTTTTCCTACAAATGATTAATTTGTAGATTTTGACACATAAACGAATATAAACGGCATTTGTTAATTATTATATTATCTTTTTTTCTCATTGAAACCTCGAAATGCAATATAGGTGTATTTTTTCATCATCTAGAAAACCAATTTTCACGTACTTATGGTAGTAGTACACATGTATTATATAATCCCGAAATGAAATACAAGGTTTCTTTTTTCCATCGTCTAAAAAACCAATGTACACGTATTATATAATCGCTTGCGCATCATAACTTTATTAAAGGATAAGTCACCTGACTACACATCTTTGATCAAAGATTTGAATCCCAGACCTGCACAAATATGATCTCAATTTGCCACACTTCACCCAGGTGTAAATGGGTTTGATATTTTGTTATGCTTGTAAACAAGAAGCCAATATTACTATCATTATGTTATCATAAACAAGGATGTCAACAAATTATCCGTAGTAGAACTTTTGATCAAAGCTTAAGTGCTAATATTGAAAAGGTATCACTTTCATAATTTGTAGTTATACTCTCATGTATTCTCAAATCCTTATAATTTGAGTTTCAGTCTATTAACCATCTTTACAATTGTGCCAAAGTATGTTAGAGCGGTCTTGATTGAGTTGGTGACCTTCACAATAAAGAGTTACTTTAATACCAGGACATTTTGCAGGCATCTAATGTTTGCAAAATTATGCAAGTAGTTCAGTTTTGGGAAAGTGTCATGCTGTGAAAGTATTGAATTATAACTGACACAACACTGAATTTGTGTAACTTGCAAAAGTTCCTTGCGTGAAAATTGCTGTCATTTACAATTCATTAAAAAAAATTAAGCTGCAGATGTTTCCAGTTCTACAGTAGCCCTAACTATGTACAAAAAGGCTATTCGCATCAAGCATCAAGAAACTCCCCAAACCAAAGAGTGAATGCTGTCGTATTAATGTTTGTGTATAAAGGCTCACGTGAGTACAATGGCCTGCCGTTAACTATTAAGCTATCCAACAGCTTAAAAACTTTTTGCAAAAATCTTAATTTAAGAAACTGCTCTGATCTGGAATGGAACATGCTTGGGATGGGGGGGGGGTGTTTATGCTTCTCTAATATGTTTTAGGTTTTATATGTATTCAAATTATATCATTTTATGTTGTATTGTATGTTGTATAATAACTGTTGATATCTAAATTCCTGGACCCCAGGGAAGAACAGTTTTGTTTTACTAACAAAGCTGAATGGGTTATCCGGCCATTCACTATACCATTATATGTACATGCATTTTCTATGTATTGTTTTTAATATTGTGATATTGAAAATAAATACCAATGCCAATATCATTGTTGTTGTCTATCAAGAATTGTGATTGATCCAAATCAATTGCAAATCCTCCGATCAACCACAAGTATGCAGTCTCCTATCTCTCATGTTCATAGTTGCAATTGATATCAACTCTTTATAAGACGGGGCCTTGATATTGCTCATTTTTGTTCGCATGCGTTGGCTTGACTTGGCTCTAAGACTTTGTAAGATATAGTTTTTATGGGGCAGTGGTTCCATGTCTGGTGATAATACTTAAAACAATTCCTTTCTCTGTGATTTTCTATATTACAAAAAGAAGAGCTTTGGATTTACCTTAGACTTTGTTTCGTAAAAAGTAAGTTCGTCACTTTGGATGAAACTTCGTAAGACTTGACTTCAAAACTTTGTAAAATATAGTCTGTATATGGGGCAGTGGTTCTTTGTCTGGTGATAATATGGAAAAAATTGACCTTTCCTGTGATGTTGTATATTATGAAAAGATGAGCTATGAATTTACCTTAAATCTATTTTTTTTAAAGCAAGTTCGTCACTTGGATGGGACTTCTTAAGACTTGACTTTAAACCTTGTAAGATATAGTTTGTATGGGGCAGTGGTTCCATGCCTGGTGATAATATGAAAATAAAATTGACTTTGTGATTTTGTATATCACAAAAAGAAGAGCTATGGATTTACCTTAAATCTATTCTTTTTAAAGCAAGTTCGTCACTTGGATGGGACTTCTTAAGACTTGACTTTAAGACTTTGTAAGATATAGGTTTTATGGTAGTGGTTCCATGTCTGGTGATAATATGAAAATATAATTGACTTTGTTTGTGATTTTGTATATCACAAAAAAGAAGGGCTATGGATTTACCTTAGAGTCTATTCTTTTTAAAGCAAGTTCGTCACTTGACTTTAAGACTTTGTAAGATGGGGCAGTGGTTCTATGTCTGGTGATAATATGAAAATAAAATTGACTTTGTTTGTGATTTTGTATATCACAAAAAAAGAAGAGCTATGGATTTACCTTAGAGTCTGTTTAAAGCAAGTTCGTCACTTGAATGAGACTTCTTAAGACTCGACTTTAAGACTATGGAAGATATAAGTTTTATGGTAGTGGTTCCATGCCTGGTGATAATATGAAAATATAATTGACTTTGTTTGTGATTTTGTATATCACAAAAAGAAGAGCTATGAATTTACCTTAAATCTATTCTTTTTAAAGCAAGTTCGTCACTTGGATGGGACTTCTTAAGACTTGACTTTAAGACTTTGTAAGATATAAGTTTTATGGTAGTGGTTCCATGTCTGGTGATAATATGAAAATATAATTGACTTTGTTTGTGATTTTGTATATCACAAAAAAGAAGGGCTATGGATTTACCTTAGAGTTTGTTTAAAGCAAGTTCGTCACTTGAATGAGACTTCTTAAGACTCGACTTTAAGACTATGGAAGATATAAGTTTTATGGTAGTGGTTCCATGCCTGGTGGTAATATTAAAATATAATTGACTTTGTTTGTGATTTTGTATATCACAAAAAAGAAGGGCTATGGATTTACCTTAGAGTATATTCTTTTTAAAGCAAGTTCGTCACTTGAATGAGACTTCTTAAGACTCGACTTTAAGACTATGGAAGCTATAAGTTTTATGGTAGTGGTTCCATGCCTGGTGATAATATGAAAATAAAATTGACTTTGTTTGTGATTTTGTATATCACAAAAAGAAGAGCTATGAATTTACCTTAAACCTATTCTTTTTAAAGCAAGTTCGTCACTTGGATGGGACTTCTTAAGACTTGACTTTTAGTCTTTGTAAGATATAAGTTTTATGGTAGTGGTTCCATGTCTGGTAATAATATGAAAATATAATTGACTTTGTTTGTGATTTTGTATATCACAAAAAAAGAAGGGCTATGGATTTACCTTAGAGTCTGTTTAAAGCAAGTTCGTCACTTGAATGAGACTTCTTAAGACTCGACTTTAAGACTATGGAAGATATAAGTTTTATGGTAGTGGTTCCATGCCTGGTGGTAATATTAAAATATAATTGACTTTGTTTGTGATTTTGTATATCACAAAAAAGAAGGGCTATGGATTTACCTTAGAGTATATTCTTTTTAAAGCAAGTTCGTCACTTGAATGAGACTTCTTAAGACTCGACTTTAAGACTATGGAAGCTATAAGTTTTATGGTAGTGGTTCCATGCCTGGTGATAATATGAAAATATAATTGACTTTGTTTGTGATTTTGTATATCACAAAAAGAAGAGCTATGAATTTACCTTAAATCTATTCTTTTTAAAGCAAGTTCGTCACTTGGATGGGACTTCTTAAGACTTGACTTTAAGACTTTGTAAGATATAAGTTTTATTATAGTGGTTCCATGTCTGGTGATAATATGAAAATATAATTGACTTTGTTTGTGATTTTGTATATCACAAAAAAGAAGGGCTATGGATTTACCTTAGAGTCTGTTTAAAGCAAGTTCGTCACTTGAATGAGACTTCTTAAGACTCGACTTTAAGACTATGGAAGATATAAGTTTTATGGTAGTGGTTCCATGCCTGGTGATAATATGAAAATATAATTGACTTTGTTTGTGATTTTGTATATCACAAAAAAGAAAGGCTATGGATTTACCTTAGAGTATATTCTTTTTAAAGCAAGTTCGTCACTTGGATGGGACTTCTTAAGACTTCACTTTAAGACTTTGTAAGATATAGTTTGTATGGGACAGTGGTTCCATGTCTGGTGATAATATGAAAATAAAATTGACTTTGTTTGTGATTTTGTATATCACAAAAAGAAGAGCTATGAATTTACCTTAAATCTATTCTTTTTAAAGCAAGTTCGTCACTTGGATGGGACTTCTTAAGACTTGACTTTTAGTCTTTGTAAGATATAAGTTTTATGGTAGTGGTTCCATGTCTGGTGATAATATGAAAATATAATTGACTTTGTTTGTGATTTTGTATATCAAAAAAAAGAAGGGCTATGGATTTACCTTAGAGTCTGTTTAAAACAAGTTCGTCACTTGAATGAGACTTCTTAAGACTCGACTTTAAGACTATGGAAGATATCAGTTTTATGGTAGTGGTTCCATGCCTGGTGGTAATATGAAAATATAATTGACTTTGTTTGTGATTTTGTATATCACAAAAAAGAAGGGCTATAGATTTACCTTAGAGTATATTCTTTTTAAAGCAAGTTCGTCACTTGAATGAGACTTCTTAAGACTCGACTTTAAGACTATGGAAGATATAAGTTTTATGGTAGTGGTTCCATGCCTGGTGATAATATGAAAATATAATTGACTTTGTTTGTGATTTTGTATATCACAAAAAGAAGAGCTATAAATTTACCTTAAATCTATTCTTTTTAAAGCAAGTTCGTCACTTGGATGGGACCTCTTAAGACTTGACTTTTAGTCTTTGTAAGATATAAGTTTTATGATAGTGGTTCCATGTCTGGTGATAATATGAAAATATAATTGACTTTGTTTGTGATTTTGTATATCACAAAAAAGAAGGGCTATGGATTTACCTTAGAGTCTGTTTAAAGCAAGTTCGTCACTTGAATGAGACTTCTTAAGACTCGACTTTAAGACTATGGAAGATATAAGTTTTATGGTAGTGGTTCCATGCCTGGTGGTAATATGAAAATATAATTGACTTTGTTTGTGATTTTGTATATCACAAAAAAGAAGGGCTATGGATTTACCTTAGAGTATATTCTTTTTAAAGCAAGTTCGTCACTTGAATGAGACTTCTTAAGACTCGACTTTAAGACTATGGAAGATATAAGTTTTATGGTAGTGGTTCCATGCCTGGTGATAATATGAAAATAAAATTGACTTTGTTTGTGATTTTGTATATCACAAAAAAGAAGGGCTATGGATTTACCTTAGAGTCTGTTTAAAGCAAGTTCGTCACTTGAATGAGACTTCTTAAGACTCGACTTTAAGACTATGGAAGATATAAGTTTTATGGTAGTGGTTCCATGCCTGGTGGTAATATGAAAATATAATTGACTTTGTTTGTGATTTTGTATATCACAAAAAAGAAGGGCTATGGATTTACCTTAGAGTATATTCTTTTTAAAGCAAGTTCGTCACTTGAATGAGACTTCTTAAGACTCGACTTTAAGACTATGGAAGATATAAGTTTTATGGTAGTGGTTCCATGCCTGGTGATAATATGAAAATAAAATTGACTTTGTTTGTGATTTTGTATATCACAAAAAGAAGAGCTATGAATTTACCTTAAATCTATTCTTTTTAAAGCAAGTTCGTCACTTGGATGGGACTTCTTAAGACTTGACTTTAAGACTTTGTAAGATATAAGTTTTATGATAGTGGTTCCATGTCTGGTGATAATATGAAAATATAATTGACTTTGTTTGTGATTTTGTATATCACAAAAAAGAAGGGCGATGGATTTACCTTAGAGTCTGTTTAAAGCAAGTTCGTCACTTGAATGAGACTTCTTAAGACTCGACTTTAAGACTATGGAAGATATAAGTTTTATGGTAGTGGTTCCATGCCTGGTGATAATTTTAAATATAATTGACTTTGTTTGTGATTTTGTATATCACAAAAAAAGAAAGGCTATGGATTTACCTTAGAGTATATTCTTTTTAAAGCAAGTTCTTCACTTGGATGGGACTTCTTAAGACTTCACTTTAAGACTTTGTAAGATATAGTTTGTATGGGGCAGTGGTTCCATGTCTGGTGATAATATGAAAATAAAATTGTATTTCTCTGTGATTTCGTATATCATAAAAAGGAGAGTTTTGGATTTACCTTAGAGTTTATTTTGTAAAAACCAAGTTCGTCAATAATTGGTTGAAACTTTGTAAGACTTGAGAACACTTCACATTATAATTTGCATTTTGTTTGATATTACATGTTTTTTGTGAGGATCATTTTTATCAAGCCAATTATGTTCCTTCCATGATCTTCCCACTTTAGATATTTCGTCACATATGTTTGTATTTTGAATATCATATATTATTGTATTCATCTTGAAGTAGAAATAAATTATTGCAATGAAATGATATAAATGAATTGTAATACTTGTATTTATTACTTTCGTATGTACACCTGTTTATTAAATGGATACGGGCTAACTCATATAATAGAGTAATTAGCAGACAGACTCAGGCGCGTACGCAGGGGGGGGGGTTAACCCCCCCCCCCTTTTGATTTTTTTTTTTTTTAATTAAAAAAAATATATATATATTATGCCAATGGCTGACCCAAAACAGGTGACCTAACCTAACCCCCCCCCCCCCCCCCCCCACGGAACAAAATGTCAAATTTTCAAATTTCGAGACAAAAAAAAAAGAAAATAAAGTGTCCTCTTACTCAACCTCACCCTGAAAGCCGAAGAACCACAGGAAAACATAAGTGAAAATTCGAAATATATTGAATACAAAATGAGAAAGTATAATTTCCCCCCCCCCAAAAAAAAAAAAAATAGCTCACTACAAATATGGGGACCTAATCGTAATTCAGTCATAATACATGATGTCATACAGGAAAACTCCTGAATTTGTTTTATTTTCTTTCAAATATAAATGTATATAAATATATGTGATATATGTTGTGGTCTAGTGGATAAGTCGTTGGACTGTGAATCACAGGGTCCCGGTTCGAGTCCCGCCACGGCATTAATGTCCTTTGGCAAGATATTAATCTACATTAATTTGCCACTCTTCACCCAGCTGTTAAATGGGTACCGGTAGGAAGGAATTCCTTGAATGCTGTGAGCGCCGAAATCGATTTGCAGAGTCGGGGTAATAGTTGGAGAGCCTTAAGCACCATGCATGGTGGATATGTGCGCTATATAAATGTCTAATATTATTATTTTTATTATATTCATCTTTTTTCATTTCAACGAGATAGAAAAGCCTTTTTTTCTGTCACACTATGGTTAACATATTTAAATGTCCATCAATTAAACATATTTTTCCCCATCACATGAGAAGAGGAATACTTAATTAATATGTGCAGAAACCAAATGGGACGGTTCTTCAAGCAACACATCACACATTACCAAGTGATTCCTCTTATCATCATTTTATTTAGCAAATCAACATAACATATTAAAGATAACATGCATGGATTTTGACAGTAACTGAAAGGGTGAATCTAAATACTGTTGCCCTCAAGTATTAAGTTCCATCACAAAGAACAAGAATGACATGACAAATATTTACATCATAACAATGGATGATGCACAAAATTATCAATTAAATCTTAAATAAGAGAAATATATTGAGAAAGAGAGAGAGAGAGAGAATAGATAAAGAGAGAGAAAGTGAGAGAGAGAGAGAGAAAGATAAAGAGAAATTGAGAGTGAGGGAGATGGCCTGGATGGGGGGGGGGGCAGAAAATCATTATTTTTCTGGAAGAATTCTTTGGAGTATTACTACTATCTACTATCTATGCATGTGTATGGCCGGATTGATATTCTGCCTCCTTGTTGTCCCTATCAGTCATTATTATCAGCTGTTACTATTAGAGCAATTATACCATTACTGAGTATAATCTCTACTTTCAAACGATGAACAAAGAAATCAATTATGTCAACCTATCAGTGGATTAGAGCAGACAAGTTACAAAATATAACCTACTAGTTACATATACACTGCGTGGATTATCAAACTAAACACAACATATGAAGGAAAGAAAATTTCAAGCATGGACAATCAAGCATGTACAAGTAGTTTGATAGATACTTTTTACATCAAATAAATATAAATTTGATAAGAAATTATGTACATTTTGAACAAAGCTTTAGAAAGAATACAAATCACAAGCACGTTTATTGTAAACTCTATACATTAGTTACAAGGAAATTATATCTGTACATCACACACAGCAAAACAAAGAAACAGTAATTTGAAGGCAGTTTCATATATATATATTTATATAAAAAAGCATGGACAGTGTAAGTTGTATTTTAAGCACATGTGTTTTTGCACCCTTATGCCCCTTACTTTTGATAGCGGTCTTAGAATGCAGACAAATATTTTGCAGACACCTCTTGTTTCAAAATCCTGGCTATTCCAAAATAACAATAGACACAGATTTCCTTCAAAGTATCTACTTCTTAATATTTAATATTCAATATTGATAATATTTAATTTGATTGCATGACCCAAATTTACCAAAAATGCTAATCCAGTTCATGCTTGTACTAAACTGATCTGCATAACATTTCATGCATAATACAAATAAGAAAGATTCAACGACATGGCTGATAACAATTCATTACCTACAATACAACAACAAAAAACAGCAGAACAACTGCCAGAAAACTTATCTTTTGAAATTTGGAATGTTGGCCTGTCATTTAATCCACTGTTAAACCAGGAGACATGCACATACACTGCCGGATACCAGGACTTCTTTTGCGCAAGACCGACTATTTCAACTGAACTCACTTGCATCAGACCAAATCATCTGACCCAGGTTAGGCCTGGGTTACATTGTCAATATAAATGCATCATAATACCTAGCAATATATCATTACAAAGATCTTGAAACACTGGAAAATTGACAAAGATAAAGAGATGTTATTCTTAATGGCACAGTTACATTTGATTTGTTTCTTGTAAATTGCTTCCACGGCTACATCCCTAAAAAACCGACAGTCAATAAATCAAAAGACCACTACACCAACAGGAAGGTTTTAAAGACCTGAAAACATGATGGAAAGCTCATAAGACAGACAATGTCAATCTTACAGACTGTTGGTTTTCATCAGTCTCATGGACTATGGGTCTACCGGATGACTTCCACAACAAGTCATCTAGCTTTCATAGGATTTTTTCTTCATTTAATCATAAAAGATTGGGCAGGTCATATGAAAACTTTCATATTAGCCACATTGCAATTAGATTTCAGTGCATTAAATTGCTCATTTAACTCTACATAAATGCAAGAATACTTTTCTCATTTACATATATCCTATATTTTAAATACAGGAAAAATTGTAATTATATTCTGACTCAACAGCACGAATGGGAATCAGTAGATGATATTCTGCTCCTCAGTATCCCAATCTGGAAACAAGATCTGCAAGATAAAAAAAGAATGAGTAACAATATCAAACATGTTACCAATAATCATTGTTTAACCCATTCCCATACAATGCTTGCAAGTACTGATTACATTGTACGCCCCAATTCTTGCTACCGCAACTACTGTATTTGGCCATAGAGGGAAGCACCGGCCATGGGTAAATTCAGCAAATTGCTTTCACAAAAAAATTGTCTCGATCTTCACAATAAGAAGTGGCATATATTTTGTTAAGTAATTGTGTTTCTTTGTTTATACAAACGTCTTATTATTATGGGCGGCCAAAGGGGCCAATATCAACAGTCACAAAAACGAACAAAGATGCATACAAACAAACAAAGAAGCATACAAACAAACAAAGGACAGAGCAAAATAGACAAAGTACCCAGAAGAAAGGACCAATTAACAAAGAATAAATCAAAGGTCAGAGCAAAATAGACAAAGTACAGGTCAAAAGAAACAGAGGGCGTTTTGGTTTACGGTAAGCAAATAGACATCAGGCACCAAAACGAGAAAGGACAAACTCAAACAGACATCACATCATCTACGAACTGACCCTCAAAGGACAACAGAGGGCGTTTTGGTTTACGGTAAGCAAATAGACATCAGGCACCAAAACGAGAAAGGACAAACTCAAACAGACATCACATCATCTACGAACTGACCCTCAAAGGACAACAGAGGGCGTTTTGGTTTACGGTAAGCAAATAGACATCAGGCACCAAAACGAGAAAGGACAAACTCAAACAGACATCACATCATCTACGAACTGACCCTCAAAGGACAACAGAGGGCTTCCTCGAGGTTTTTTTCTTTTTATTCTAGGGCCTATTCGTACTCCAATACGCTGTAGGTCTATACAACAAATATGCATGCCTGGTTACACACGATATTCGATGCTGCGCATGCTACATAGTCTACAGCTGTTCCCGCCTCGACCATATTGAATATTCAAGAGAATCTAGACTTTCCCCGACCCTGCGTAATGAATATTCATGAAATAATAGGAGGGGTGGAGGGAGGGTATAATAGGGGGTCCTTGGAGGGAGGCAAATGACCCTACATCCCCCCCCCCCCACCAAAACAAAAACAAAAAAAACAAAAAACGAGTGACTGACAATCACAATAAAAAAAAGATAATCGAAGACGAAGCGATAATGATTAATCAACAGGGCATTTTGGCCCCAGTCTTAATTGGGCAAAATGGTCTATGCAATTGGATGGATAATCATTGATTAAAGCCCCACTGTCCTACTTGTAATGTTGTAGCTACTTGCTCCCTCTACAGGCGCGTACGCAGAGGGGGGGGGGTGTTTGGGGGGTTAACCCCCCCCCCCCTTGAGTTTTTGTTATGTGTGTATTATATGTGTATTTTTTACCAAACCCCCCCCCCCCCTTGAAAAAATCCTGCGTACGCCACTGTCCCTCTATATAGAAAACTTCCCCAATCGGTACCTTTTGGTCCCCCACCCTCTTTTTCTTATGTTAGTTGAGAGCTGAGTTAAAGAGATAGCCACCTGTCAGTGACCTCGTTATCGCTGTGTGGTCTAATCCCTTCTGGCCCAGTATTGACGGTCTTTAAATGAAATACATACGCAGCTGTTATTACTTGCGAGCCTAAGCCCTCTGTTGTCCTTTGAGGGTCAGTTCGTACGATGATGTGATGTCTGTTTGAGTTTTATATCCTTTCTCGTTTTGGTGCCTGATGTCTATTTGCTTACCGTAAACCAAAACGCCCTCTGTTGTCCATTGAGGGTCAGTTCGTAGATGATGTGATGTCTGTTTGAGTTTGTCCTTTCTCGTTTTGGTGCCTGATGTCTATTTGCTTACCGTAAACCAAAACGCCCTCTGTTGTCCTTTGAGGGTCAGTTCGTAGGTGATGTGATGTCTGTTTGAGTTTGTCCTTTCTCGTTTTGGTGCCTGATGTCTATTTGCTTACCGTAACCCAAAACGCCCTCTGTTTCTTTTGACCTGTACTTTGTCTATTTTGCTCTGACCTTTGATTTATTCTTTGTTAATTGGTCCTTTCTTCTGGGTACTTTGTCTATTTTGCTCTGTCCTTTGTTTGTTTGTATGCTTCTTTGTTTGTTTGTATGCATCTTTGTTTGTTTTTGTGACTGTTGATATTGGCCCCTTTGGCCGCCCATATATTATTATGTACAAGAATTGCTTTAATAAATACTTTAACAAAACAAAAACAAATACAAACAATTTTTTTGGGCAAAGGCACTTCCGATTTTCATACAAATACAGTGGGTCGAGAACTAGAAAGTCTGATAGAAATTATAGTTTCAGAACCAACAAGCTATAGGTAATATATTATGACGGTGCCGTGTTTTTCTCATTGAATCCATCCATCCATTGTCTCTCTAACAATAATGAAACAGACATCTGGCCCGTCTTACAAAGAGATGATTATCAATCGCAACTATGTGCATAAGAGATAGGAGACTGCAAACTTGCTATATATTGATTGGAAGACTTGCAATTGATTTGGATCAATCACAACTCTTTGTAAGACGGGGCCCTGGTAGTACATACATAGGAATAAACACTGGAGTGGACTACTGAACCGATACTGACCAGTTTATTTCCATGAGTATCGTCATGACCTCCTCCTGCTTCTCCTCATCCACGATGTCATCATAGACCATCAACGTCTCATAGAGTGTGTTAGCAGTGGTCCCTCTTATCTAGGAGCGTAGGAATGAGAAAGCTGGACATTTTATCGGGGTTCATACAAGGGTACATGTTCTACAGTCTAATCTGTCTTACTGGCAACTCTCTATGAAAGCCACAGGTCTATAGTGGTCACTCATGTTACCCCCCCCCCCCCCCTCTAGGAGGAAAAAATATATTGAAGGAATACACACAACTACACAAGGAATCCATATTTTTATTAAACCAGATAATGTTTTATTATGAAAATTCTAATTGTCCCTACCCCATATAGCTGAAAACAAGCCAAAGCAATTAAGTGGCGCTCTTTTTTCACTATCAAATTTGCTAGGATGTTGTAGTCACAAGAGCTTCAGGTCAAAACAGCTAGGCCATACAGTATTAGACTCACGTTTTACTGTCAATAGGATCGACTAAGAATGAGAAAAATATAGTTTTGCCTAAATCTCTAATGATGTAAAGTTATTAAATATGTAGACCTTTAGTGTCTTCAAATATGTGATTCTGCTGTAATTACTGACAATAGCACACAAACATGGGAAAATAAGCCGCTTGCGTTGCAGCAAAATTGCAGATGTACCGGAGGTGCAATGCTTTATGGGAATGTATATTGCTATATGCGGTGGCAAAAACATTGAAGATGTGATTACCTTTGGGTACTTATGAGAGAGGAATACCATGAGTTGAGTAAGGCTCTTCTTCCTAGGTTCACCAACAAACTGAATCATACCACAGAACCTGAAATGTATAAAAACTAGTTGTTTAAAATAGTACTTTCAATCTATCAGAAGTCCACGATGGGCATTTGTGGGCTTAATGTACATGGAGGTGTTCCACAGGGGTCTGCCATGGGTCCTATACTATTATTTTTAAATCAAAGAATTGTAGTGTGTAAGTTGCAATGACATTGCTACTGGATTGTGATTACTTTTAAAAAACATATCAAATGGACAGGAAAAACTGGTAAACAATTTCCCTACTGAAATGTATGATTTTAGTGATGATTTATTTTAAAATTTGGTATTATATATTTCATGTTAACTCGTTGATTACTAGTATCATAATGCAAGAAAAAGGAACAAAAGTATATCAAGTTATCAGTGATGTGACTCACACTTCTATGCTTGTGAGAAGTTTTTGGGCATCGCCTGTCTTGGCCACCTCCTTCTTGACCAGTTGCAGGAGGTTCAGCAGAAATGGATGACTGAAGAAACAGAGTGAGACAGAATCGATCATTATAGTAATGATAATGATAGTAACAACAACAATACTGAATATGATTAATAACAATAATGGTTACAATAATTGTGAACATACCATCAATCTTATTTGACCCCCTAGGATAGCTCTTCATGTATATATCCTTACCTAGGGTCTTCTACGAAGGTTTCAAAGCTTCCACTGGATAACAGGGGGTTGATCATCTTCATCAACGGTACAGAAACTCTGAGAAAATATTTGCAACAAATAAATAGGTGTAAAATGCAAATGGATGCATGATTCTCTATTGAATAGTAACTGGATGACAATACAAGCAATGAAATTAACATGTGAAAGCAAATGGCCATCATTATTTGGCTATCATTGTCAGCATCAATAGATGTACAAGACACACATTCCTATTTCTTAATCAAGAAGCCACTTCAATAATGGTTACAGCAAAGCTAAGAATTTCATTTCTAAGAGCATTCAAGGAAATCCTTCCTAATGGTACCCATTTAACATCCCATTGCAGAGTGCCAAATATAGATCACTATCTTGTCAAAGGACAGTAGTGCTGTACCAGGGCTTGAACCTAGGCCCTGTTTCATAAAAATTGTTATCAATAACAAATGAATAATTTCTAGGACAAATTTGCTCTCAGTCAATCAAAGGCCACGATTTCAGTAGCTTATACCAGTTATTGTAACTTGTTAATCATAACAGGTTTTATGAAACAGGGCCCAGGTTCAAGATTAACATCATGTTTGACCTCCACTCACCTGTCTACTTTCTGATAGTCAGTGAATATCTTGAGAAGGTTGTCGGTGAATCTAGTAAGGTCTTCAGTCGAGCTGCACGTCTTGATAAAGGACAGAAGAGACTGGGCAGAGTGCTTGACCTAAACAAAAAACATAAGACCCAAGGCATTACACAAACACATTGGATATATTTAAAGTAGAGAGTGAAGGAGAGAGGGTAGGGGATAGACTGATAGAAAGAAGTCAGTGATAATCTTGACATTTTCAGCAAAAAGTCAGTGAGTATTGAGTATGTTGTCGGTGAATCTAGTAAGGTCTTTAGTTGAGCTGCATGTCTTGATAAAGGACAGAAGAGATTGGGCAGAGTGCTTGGCCTAAACAAGAAGCATAAGACCAAAACATTACAGAAAATTGTACTTTAAGGTAGAGAGTGAAGGAGAGAGAGAGAGATAGAGAGAGAGTGAAGGAGAGAGAGATCGAGAGAGAGCAATAGAGAGAGAGAGGGAGAGAGAAAGAGAGAGAAGGGGGTGAATAGACTGACAGAGGGAGAGATAGTAAGATAGTCTGTAAAGTTCTTGCGTAGGTATCAATGAATCTAGTCAAGTCTTCATCTGAGCTGCACATAATGACAAGGAACAGACACGATAGGGCAGAATGCTTCACCTACACACAGGAAACAGATGTACAGATAAATTTAGAGAGATGGGGGCTCAGAGACAGAGAATGACGAAAAGGAAATAGACAAATGGAAAGTGAGTGGGAGAGCAAAAGATTAGAGTAAAATAGATGCAAACAAAAAGCATTATGGGAAGGAAATGATAGACAGACTACAATAAGAGAGAAAGAAACAAAGAAGAAAAAATAACCAAAACAAATAAACAGATTTTTTAAAAAAGAGACCATTGGATGAGAAGAAGCACAAACAACAGTGATAGGCGAGGTAAAGATAAAGAAGACAGATGGAGGGAGACATATCAAGAAAACGGAGCGAAAAAAGGAGACATATTATTATTAGCAAACATCACCCAGACTTTATATTGATCTTAAAGCCAAACATGCACAGTATGTGTGCATGTAACAATTCAACAATCAATAAAAACTTTTAACATCAAAACAAGTGTTCATCTTACCAGTGACTCTGTTAGACCTCCTACGCTTACAGTCAAACCCAGAAGAACATGGTACTTGGAAGGTTGGTAGTTTGAGGAGCTGAGTTACCTTGGCAAAACAGTCAGAGGGCGCTGCCCAGTTCAGTCCCTTGATGTCTTCCCTAAACAAACAAAAATACATGTTGAAATGATTACCAGTGACAGTGAGCCCAAATAGATTAGGTGCTTGTATAGCCCCCGGCTTCCCCCCCCCCCCCCCCCCCCCACTCAGAGGTCGGAATGACCGCATGCGTGTTGCCAAAATGTCCGGTAAAGGGGTACTCTTCGTGCGACAAAGTCCGGCCCGAGAATTGTAAAAAAAAAAGGGGTGTATTTGACTTTTCACCGGAGATTTCTTTAAAAAGGGGGTGTTTTTCTTTTTTTCTCTCATCTCTTTGGACTCCTGAGAAATTATTCCGAATTTAGGGGGGTACATTGAGCATTTTTTCTGATTTAGGGGGGTCTCCAAGGCAGGAAAAGCCCCCGAAAAGCCCGCGAAAGGGGGGTTCGGAAATGTTGGCAGTCCTCAGATAGGGGGTGCTTTCAAAAAGAGGGTACGAGCATAAGCGTACCCTAAATAACACTGAGTGGGGGGGCCGGGGTATAGCCCCCTCAACTTCAAAATAAAAACTATCTGATGAGATGTGATCAAGACAGGTACACTTGGAACATTGACACTGGTACACAATGGAGAGATGACTACGAAGGTACCAATGTATTTCAGCCTTCATTGGCAGTAATATGGGTTGTATGCTGAGTTTCTGGTGCATACATTTTTAAATTGTTGCAATATAGATCTTTTTTCAAAGGTAGTTCGACTCATATGAATGACATTGTTTACAAAGTGAAATTTGTATTAGGGTCACTCATCAGTATTATTTACTTGACAGAATTTACGTTCATTTATTCATTAAATACCGGTAAGCACAATTTCACATGTCATCAAGAACGTCAGCAGATAACCCATTGCCTAATGAAACCAGGTGGTTCCTGTATTAACCTATAGGTAGTATGAGAATTTGATAGTCGATGGGTTAATGGAAATCCCTTACACATACATTCCTAACAAGGAAAGCCAGCATTAGGACAAAACATAGAGTACCCAAATCATATTTTTGAAATTGAAAAAAAGACACTCAGTAACATTCAATTCAGTTCAATTCAATTCGTTTTATTAAACCATTTAAAATAAAAAATAAAAATCAATATACAAATCATGCATGTATGAAAATTATACAGTTTAAATGGTCAGTGTTCCCCTAAAAGCCAAGGCTTGATTAATGGGGTGCCCAATACATAAAGAAATATACATACAATAAACATGAAATACAAAACAAACTTAATTTTAAAAAACAACAAAAGAAAAACATTAAACACTAAACATACAGGCAAAGGGAAATAGGAAAAGGTGAAGTAAGAAAACGTAGGGAGGAGAAATGAAATTACATGTTTATTTGACATAGGTAATTATTATTGAACGTTTAAGTTTGGTTTTAAAGGAAGTAACATTACTGCTGGAAGTTACATCAGAAGAGAGGGAATTCCATATTCGAGGACCAACAGATTTAAATGCATTAAGAGTTGACTGATTCAGTGCTAATGATAACATGATAAGGAAAAGGTATCAAAGTTTTAAGGGGGAGGCCTTGATGTATGAAACCTGAAGGGCCTTAGATCAAACCATGTCATCCTAACCCTTGAAGGACAACTACACAAGAAATTCTGTGGGAGAAGAATGAAGGCAAATTACCCCCCCCCCCCCAACACACACACACACACACACACACACATATATATAAACACACATACACAACCTTTAAATGATGATGATGATGATTCTAATAGTAACATGGATTATACAAAGGTTGATAAAGTTCATGAACAAAAAAAATCAATTCAAATTTAGACTTGAAATCATGGCATCTTGATCACATGATTTCATATTTCTCTGCCTTCTCCTCAGCATTTTTTTAACAGAAAGTGATCAAACAAAATCCATGTGTAAAAATCGACAAACCTTTTTCTATTCAGGAAATAAAGGTAACACACATTCAAATTGACCTTGAACCCATAGAACGTTTACTTTCCTAATGATCATCTATCATTCTCCAGGGAGACTTCCTTTACTCAAAAGTATGGTTTCAATTCTATTATTGATGTCTTGTTCTGGATTTTAAAAAAAACATGAATTCCTGTTTGCTACAAGAGGTTCAGCTTATCATACCAATGCAAAGTCGAAATTTTACTTCAAGTATGTTTGCCATTAAAACAAGCCATATCAATAATCTAAGTCAATAGTGAACGGTCATCTTGATATTCAGATCATCTTGATAATATCATCCACAATCATCATAACAAATTTGGAAAGAACCACTACTTATCATAGTAATAATGCAAAGTCGAACTTATACTTCAAGTATTTATATTAAAACAAATCACTTACGGTATGTTTCACTGATAAATAACTAACTGGTACTTGAACTTTGCACATGCTGATTTTGAGTGATAAGCTTCCAGATATTATTCTCATTTTTCTATTTTTAATATAACAAGCCAATGTTCATGCAAACTCATGAACACATCACCAAAAGCACATCTCTTGAAGAAGAAGCGACAGGTACTGTATTGGACAACCACTTTACGTGTAGTTTGGCATAGGGGTTATTACCTAAGGACTAAAGCTGTTTGACTCCACTTCACTAACATACACGGTAAGTACACTTGCCTTTATAAGAAGCAAATCCCATCTCTTGAGACTGGAATGAACTTTTTAAATACTGAGTGGAAACTGGGCATTTCCTTGCTGCACATTATTTAAGCAGTCATGTAATGTCAGAATATGAGTCAAATAAATGGTAATGTTTCAAAGTACTGGGAGGGAAAAAAACACTTTTGCAAATCAATGACAGCTATTTCAAGGGATGAATAATTTACAATTTGCAAAAAGTTAGTACTGTGACTCAAAAATCCGAACCATTTGCAAATCTGAACCACCCACTCACAAAATTGGCAAATATTTCTTATTTTCATAGTGTTTTTACTATTTTTTTGCCAGGATCATCTGTGAATGTGAAGTCCTCCCAGGAGGGATTCTTTTGATATCAAGAACTACATGTACATCTCTTATTTGGAGCCTAAATGGAGGATCCGCAAAGATAAATGCTTAAAAGGAAACAGCAGTCTAGTTCTATCCAATTGACCTGTATCCGGTTCTTGTAGAATTTGATGGTTCCAATGAAAGATAAAACCTACAGAAAATAAGTGAATGAGCTACTCAAGTGAATATAACAGTCAGTTTTGAGATGCAGTCAACGTTTATATGAGCTGATCAGAAAATACGGAACATTCCTATGCCTGTGTCAAAATAAAGTAATCTTGGACAAGATTATTTTCCTGGATAGGGATTTGTCATGTACTAGGACGTTTCTCCAGTTGGTGACATTGTAACAGCAGTCAACTCAGACACTCCTGCGGTCATCTGTGGACATCTGTCGCCATATCTATCATGGACATGGTCTTCAATATTGCAGAGTACTATTAAAAAGGCAGTGCAAACATTGCTTTGATGACATTACTTAAAATAGGTTGGACCACGTGTGGTTGCCATCTTGAAGTTTGTCATATTGACTTCAATATTGCTTCAAACAATACACTTCAAAACCAATTATGTCAATCAACTTTTTTTCTATTCCATATGTTCATTTTTAACTTTTGTTTTGTAAATTATTAAAGGAATCTGTATTTAATCACAGGTAACCATGTTAATATTTGGTAGGAAGGCTGTATTCAAATGCACTATGGCAAAAATAATCGTTTTGATCACAATACTTCTTATAAATGAACATCAAGTTAAGGCAGTATCCTATGTACAAGGACAACAAGTAACCTTACATTTCCCATACCCATGTGACAGCACAGAAGTTACTTTACAACATTCGTACAGATTCCCATTTTATCGCTCTACAGACGGGTCAACACTGTCATTGCCTAAAGATAATAGATTCCAAGTGCAGAATGTAATAGAAAATGGAAACTGCTCTCTGAATCTTACAATAAGTAATCTAATGAGAAGTGATGCAGGGACATACCTTTCGACTATCTACAAGGACAGACTACTACACTTTGAATACACAACAAGAATTTGGCTAGAGGTAGACTATCCTCCTGGTAAGGCATCATGTGTTGTGGGTGAAGAAAAGGGTGGAGACTGGGTCTCAATAGACTGTACAGCTAATGTTGGGAGTCTATCAGGAAAGATTGAATGCTATCAGGATGGTGTATGGATGCCTCCCCTAACTGATCCTACTGAAACTGGCACAACTTTGAAACAGACCATTCTCATCAGAAAATCACAGCCAGTATTTTGTTGTTCTTCCCCTTTGCCTGGATACGTAGAAAGATGTGAATGTAATGATACTGCATTGTATCTAGATGATACCAGTAGCAGTGACCCATGTCCAAACACATCAACAAAACCATCAACAACTTCTACTTACAGAACCTCAGATCTGGTCGAGAAAAGTCAGTCTTCAGACTATCCCTTACCATCACACACGACATCAACGAATGCCAACAAAATTACCAAATCTGTTCATATATCAATGATCTTTGATTATATTTGGGCAACTGGTCTGTTCATATTTCATATGGTATGCAATTTCCTTATATCAATCGAGTCAGGAACGCAACAACAATAGTAATGATGAGTCACAAAATGTGAAAGCAATAATCATATTTAATATTTCAGGAACTTGTTTGATCATATTGCTGACATTGAATACAATTTCCGGCTATCTAATGTGGCCGGAAAACAAAACCAATAGTAATGATGAGTCCCAAAATTTGAGAGCAATAATCATATATTATATTTCAGTACCTGGTGTGGTCATATTGCTCATATTGAATTTAATTTCCCTCCGTCAAATGGATCAACCGATGCAGGAACGCAAACAAAATAGTAATGGTGAGTCACAAGTTCCTTCATTACCAAGAAATGTTCATTATCATTATGCTCAAAAATGCGAAACAGAAAAATTAAATCAAATGATGATGCAGGAATTAACAACTCACAAAACACAAAATAATGGTAACCCGACAATGCTCCGCTGACGATTGCTCCGCCGACATTTACTCCGCAAAACGCGACAATTGCTCCGCGA